AAATTGATTATTTCTGGTTTATCTCCATGAGTCTAGCACAAAAGTTTGTGCCTATAGGTTAGTACAATTTTATTTTATTTTATTTATTTTTAAAAAATTTTTTTAATGTTTTATTTATTTCTGAGAGAGACAGAGAGAGAGAGAGAGAGAGAGAGAGAGAGAGAGGCAGCCAGCATGAGCAGGGGAGGGTCAGAGAGAGAGAGAGACACACACAGAATCTGAAGCAGGCTCCAGGCTCTGAGCTGGCTGTCAGCACAGAGCCCCACATGGGGCTCGAACCCACGAACTGTGAGATTGTGACCTGAGCCGAAGTCAGATGCTTAACCGACTGAGCCACCCAGGTGCCCCAGTACAATTTTATTTTAGAGAGGAATATGAATATGTATATGGATTCTTCTTTTTGGTGTATATGAAGTAGTCAACAGAAATGCATGTGAGAAATGAAGATTGTAGATTTTTAAGCATTATGAGTGGCTATATAATCAATTAAACTAATTTTTGTCCTTTTTTATTCTTTTAATAAGGTTTACTATTGAATCAACCTTGCATTTTTGGAACTCTGTTTTATACAGCTTTACGTCTTTAAAGATCGATATAATATTGGCAAATAATTGAAACTCAATAAGTGTTTAATAATTGAAAGGGGGAAATAATGTTAAGCAATAATTACTACATGTTTTAAGTTTGTGATTGAAACAATAAGTTACGTAAACCTGCTTATTTAAACCAATTTAGGAAAAGATTATTCAGGGAAGCAAAACCTGTAAATGATAAAAATAAATCGAACAGGTTGTACTTTATATATTTAGTGCTATAGAAATTTGTAAATCAAAATTGTTATACATATAACCAGGTTTTAGTAGAATAATTATGTGCAGCTGGTGTATTAACATATGTCAGTTGCAGGTTTAGACTGACACACATTAGACATGGTATCTTAGGATGGGAAATCAAACATGTTTTACTTATACAAAGGTTTGAGATGTAGACAGGATTCACAGCAGAGAGATCAGCAATTTTATTTAATTGTAACTGGTTATGTAAGCTTCTAGGACTCCCCAAAAGAGGCTTCCCAGTAGACCTATGGTTTCAGATTACACGTCCAAGTGTCATATCCTCTTAAAGTTTATTCTCCCTTGTCAGAACCAGCCTTGTTGGGTGGGCCTATGGCTGACTAGTATATAGCCTTGCCTGGACATATGCAGGAGATATGTTGCATCCAGACTAGATATTAATCTCATAATTATGCAGTGTATAGTATGACTGCTAGAAGATAGCACAGGTGTAGTACAGAGACATGTACAAATTTCTCATTCATTATTTTTTTTTTTATTTTAAAATTTACATCCAAGTTAGCATACAGTGCTAACTTTCTTCAAGCACTTCAAGCACTGTATGCTAACTTGGATGTAAATTTTTTTTTCAGTTTTGGTAGTTTATGTTTCTAGGAATTTGTCCATTTCTTTCATATTGCCCATTTTCTTGGCATATAATTGCTCATAATAGTCTCTTATTATTGTTTGTATTTCTGCTGTGTTGGTTGTGATCTCTCTTCTTTCATTCTTGATTTTATTTATTTGAGTCCTTTATTTTGCTTTTTGGTCAAACTGGATAGGGGGTTATCAATTTTGTTAATTCTTTCAAAGAACCAGCTCCTGGTTTCATTGATCTGTTCTACTGTTTTTTGTTGTTTGTTGGTTTGGTTTTGATAGCATTGATTTTTACTCTAATCTTTAATATTCCCTGTCTTTTTCTGGTTTTGGATTTTATTCTTTTTACAGCTTTTAAAGGTGTAAGTTTAGGTTGTGTATCTGAGACCTTCCTTCCTTTAGGAAGGCCTGGATTTCTATATACTTCCCTCATAATGACTGCCTTTCTTGCATCCCAGAGGTTTTGGGTTGTACTTTTGAATTTCCTCTTTGACTTGTTTGTTAGCCCATTCATTCTTTAGTGGGATGTTCTTTAGTCTCTAAGTCTTTGTTACCTTTCCACATTTTTTCTTGTGGTTGATTTTGAGTTTCATAGCGTTGTGGTCTGAACGTATGCACAATATGATCTTGATTTTTTTGTGCTTGTTGAGAGCTGATTTATGTCCCAGTATGTGATCTTTTCTGGAGAATGTTTCTTGTGCACTTGAGAAAAATGTGTATTCTGGTGCTTTAGGATGAAGTATTCTGAATATGTCTATTAAGACCATCCTGTCATTCAAAGCCATTGTTTCCTTGTTGATTTTCTCTTTAGATGATCTGTCCATTGCTGTAAGTGGGGTGTTGAAGTCCCCTACTATTATGGTATTATTATCAATGAGTTTATGTTTGTGATTAATTGATATATGTATTTGGGTACCTCCACATTTGGAGCATATACGTTTATAATTGTTAGATCTTCTTGGTGGATAGACCCCTTAATTATGACATAATGCCCTTCTTCATCTCTTGTTACAGTTTTTATTTTATTTTATTTTATTTATTTATTTGGCATTTATTTATTTTTGAGAGATAGAGCATTAGCAGGGGAGGAGCAGAGAGAGAAGGAGATAGAGTGTCTGAAGCAGGCTCCAGGATCTCAGCTGTTTGTCAGCGCAGAGCCTGATGTGGGGCTCAAACTCACAAACCATGAGATCATGACCTGAGCCGAAGTCAGATGCTCAACCAACAGGCCACGCAGATGCCCCCACAGCCTTTATTTTAAAATCTGGATTGTCTGATATAAGTATGGCTACTCTGGCTTTCTCTTGGTGACCATTAGCTTGATAGATGATTCTCTGTCTCCTTATTTTCTTTAAAAAAATTTTTTTTAATGTTTTTATTTATTTCTGAGAGACAGCTAGAGACAGCGTGAGCAGGGGAGGGTCAGAGAGAGAAGGAGTCACAGAATCTGAAGACAGTCTCCAGGCTCTGAGCTAGCTGTCAGCACAGAGCCTGGCGTGGGGCTGGAACCTAGGAACCGTGAGATCATGCCTGAGCCAAAGTTTGACGCTTAACCGACTGAGCAACCCAGGGGCCCCTCTCCCTTCATTTTCAAATGAAGGTGTCTTTAGGTCTAAAATGGGTCTTTTGTAAAAAGCATTTAGATGGATCTTGTTTTCTTATCCATTCTGTTACCCTATCTCTTTTGATTGGAACATTTAGTCCATTGATCATTAGAGTGAGTACTGAAAGGTATAAATTTATTGCCATTATGTTGCCTGTAGAGTTGGAGCCTGGTGATGTTCTCTGGTCCTTTCTAGTCTTTGTTGCTTTTAATCTTTTTTCTTTTTTGGGGGGGGATCTTTTCTCCCCTCAGAGTGTCCCCCTTAAAATTTATTTCAGGGCTGGTTTAGTGGTCATGAACTCCTTTAGTTTTTGTTTGTCAGGGAAACTTTTTATCTCTCCTATTTTGAATGACAATCTTGCTGGATAAAGAATTCTTGGCTGCAGGGGCACCTGGGTGGCTCTGTTGGTTGAGCTTCCAACTTTAGCTCAGATCACAATCTCATGGTTTGTGGGTTCTAACCCTGCATCAAGTTCTGTGCTGACAGCTCAGAGCCTGGAGCCTGTTTTGGATTCTGTGTCTCCCTCTTTCTCTACCCCTCCCTTGCTTGCACTCTGTCTCTCTGTCTCAAAAATAAACAAACATTTAAAAAATTGTTTAAAAAAAAGATTCTTGGCTGCATATTTTTCCAATTCAGCACATTGAATATATCCTCCCACTCCTTTCTGGCTTGCCAAGTTTCTGTGGATAGGTCTGCTGTGAACCTAATCTGTCTTCTGCTGTAGGTTAAGGACTTTCCCCTTGCTGCCCTCATGATTTTTCCTTTCCTGAGTATTTTGTGAATTTGACTATGATATGCCTTGTTGATGGTTTTTGTTGAATCTAATGGAGTTCTCTGTGCTTCTTGGATTTTGATGTCTGTGTCTTTCCCCAGGTTATGAAAATGTTCCACTATGATTCGCGCACATAACCCTTCTATATCTTTTTCTGTCTCTTCATCTTCTGGGACCCCTATGATTCTGATATTATTCCTTTTTAATGAGTCATTAAGTTCTCTAATTCTTAAATTGTGCTCTTTTGCCTTAGTCTCCGTCTTTTTTTCTGCTTCATCATTCTCCATAAGTAAGTCCTGTATGTCACCAACTTGGTGCTCTGCTTTATCCATCCTTGCTGATGAGGCATCCATTTGAGATTGTAGCTCAGTTACAGCATTTTTTATTTCCTCCTGACTAGCTTCTACTTTTATCTCCACAAAAGGGATTTTAATCTATTTTCAACCCTAACTAGTATTCTTAGCATTGTGATTCTAAATTCTGGTTCAGACATCTTCCTTGTGTCTGTGTTGATTAAGTACCTGGCTGTTATTTCTTCCTGTTCTTTCTTTTGGGGTGAATTCCTTTGTTTTGTCATTTTGAAGGATGAAAAGGAATTAATAAAGTAAAAAAAGTAAAAATTAAGAAATTAAAAACAACACCAAAAAATCAAAGAAAGACTTTTTTGCTGGTGGCCTGGAGCCTGTTTGGGATTCTCTCTCTCCCCCTGCCTTTCTGCCCCTCCCCCACTTGTGCTGTTTCTGTCTCTCTCAAATAAACTTTAAAAAAATAAAAATTAATAGTAAAGAATGGGGCACCTGAGTTGCTCAATTGGTTAAGCATCCCACTCTTGATTTTCACTCAGGTCATGATCTCACAGTTGTGAGATGGAACCCCATGTCAGGCTCTGTACTGGGCACGGAGTCTGCTTAATATTCTCTTGGCCTCTCTCTCTCTGCCCCTCCCTTACTCACAGGCGCACATACATGTGTTCTCTCCCTTAAAAACCAAACAAATAAAAAAATAGTAAAGAACGTGATTTAGGTAGTAGATACTAACATACATGTAGTTATTTCCTCATTACAGAAGGTTTTATTTTATATCAGTCTTCATATTCTGCAACAAAGGAAACATTTAGAATAAGTCTAAATTTTAACTTTTTGAAGACTTTAATGTTCAGAATTTCTGATTTTGCTATTTGTCCAAATCATTTAGGCAAAAAGGACAGCTAGCTGTGGAAAGAGCTAAACAAGTGGAAGAGTTCCTACAGCGAAAGCGGGAAGCACGGCAAAATAAAGCGCGAGCTGAAGGGCATATGGTATGAGTTTTTTTTTTTTTTGAGATTTTGAGCATATTAATGTTCACATTGAAGGTCTGGAACAAGGTAGGTATAAATGAATTATAATTCTTTGCAAACATTTACTCTAAACATTTACCAACTAGAAAATTGTGACATATCTTAACCTCTCTTCTGCCTTATCTTTTATACCAAAGTGAAATTCTGTCGATGGTTTGGTTAATTAGGAGTAAGTTTATAGCTCTGTCTTTCCTTTAAAAGGGTAGAAGTAGACATAGTAACCCAGATATTTATGTTAAAACAAATGAGTTTTTACATTGCTGGGGTCGTTTTTTCATATGTGCTTTTGGTTTTAAATACTTTTAAGTACAAAGAATTTTAGAAGAAAAATGGGAAACCATCAGATAAACATAACTACATATCTTCTCAAAAGCACATTAAAAGCAAAAGTATATTAAAACCTCCAATTTTGCCTGCTAACTAAATTAAGTCATGTATCCAAGAAGATATTAATAGTTTTTAGATAATCATTTTATTACTTAAAACTTAATAGTTTTGACTTGTAGAGGTATACAAATGCCTTTTGACCTTTTGTGCACAGAATAACTGATGGTTGTTTCTGTCAGCTCATCATACCGTGAGAAATCCTGCTAACCTAGGAAATAAATCAGTTATGTGGTAGTATAGTTTGATCAGATTTATAACTTAGAGTAGTTCTTAAGTGCTATCTCTGTGAGTTCAGTAATGTAGTTATTTCAATTTAGTATATTTTTTTCTTTGAAATGTCATTGAAAGATACTTAGAGTTTTTAATGGTTACCTTTTATATTTTTAATACATGAGTTTGTTTTCTAGTTTTGGAATTAATCTTTGTTTGTGTCCTTCCTGTAGATAGTAGAAGAGAACCTCCTGTGTTTTGTCTTACCTGGTATCTCCAAAGTTAATAGCATCTGGAATTTTAGTTACAGATTTTAATTTGAAATCTTTTAAAAACAATTATTAGATTTATCAAGATTTATGTACTTATTTCCTCATCACTTTCCTTATATTATACTGTCCTGCTCTCACTTTGTTTTTCTTTATGGTAGGGAATATTCTCTGGCAATTCTTTTGGACAGAAACTTCTCAAGATTTGTTGGGCAATGTCTTTATTTTGTCTTTTTGCTTAAATGGTAACTTATAGTGGTAGTCATTTGGTAAACTTGCTTAGTATTTGTCCTGAAAAAATATTTTACCTTCATTTTTGAGAAATATTTTTGGTGAGTATAATATTATAGATTGAGATTTTTTTTCTTTCAGTATTTTAAAGATGTTTCTCCAGTTATCTTCTGGCATGCCTGTTTCTGACAAGACATTTGCTGTCATTTTTGTCTTTTTCCTGGATATGTAATGTATCTTTTTTCTCCACTGACTTTTAATATTTTATCACTGGAAGCAATTTTTTTTTTAATGTTTATTTTTTATTTTTGAGAGAGATAGAGCATGAGCAGGGAAAGGTCAGAGAGAGGGACAGAGGATCTGAAGTGGGCTTTGTGCTCAGAGCAGAGGGCCCAACCTGGTGCTCGAACTAACAAACTTACAGTATCATGAACTGTGCTGACGTCAGCTTAACCAATTGAGCCACACAGGCACCTCCAGTGGAAGCAAGCAATTTGATTACAATGTAATTTGGTGGTTTTTTTTTTTTTCATGTTTATTTTGTTGGGATTCATTGCGCTTCTTGGATCTGTGAATTTATAATTTTCATCAAATTTGGAAAAATTTCATCTACTCATTTATTATTTATTGAAAAATTTTTTTTCTGTTCCCTCTCTTTGTTTCCAGGATTCTCAGTACCCACCCATAAGACTATGTGATGCTCTCTCAACATCCCACTGAGGGTCTGTTCTTTTTTTTTTTTTTCCTTTTTTCTAATTTTCATTTTTTCACTCTTTTTTCTTGTTTCAACTTTGCAGTTTGGATAGCTTTTATTTCTATACCTTTAGCCTTCAGGTCCATTAATCTTTTCTTCTGCTTTGTCAAGCCTATTAATCCCATCCAGACATTGTATTTTTTTCATCTAAGAAATTTTTTTTCATCTTGTATTTTTTTATTCTTACAGTTTATTTGGGTCATTTTTATACTTTCCATGACTCTATAATGTTTATGCTTTTATCTACATTCTAAATTTGAACATAATTGGGGGTGCCTCAGTGGCTCAGTCAGTTGAGCGTCTGGCTCAGGTCATGATCTCATGGTTCACAAGTTTGAGCCCCGCATCAGGCTCTGTGCGGACACCTTGGAGCCTGGAGCCTGCTTTGTATTCTGTTTCTCCCTGTCTCTCTGTCTCTTCCCTGCTTGTGCTCACTCTCACTCTCTCTCTCAAAAGAAACATCAAAAATAAAAATTTGAACACAGATGTTTTAATGACCTTCTGTAATAATTCTGTTATCTTTGTCACTTTTGATTGATTTTTATCCTCATTGGAGTCTTCTTTTCCTGCTTCTTCACATACCTGGTAATTTGTGATTGGATGCCCGGCATTGTGTATTTTATCTTGGATTTCTTTGTATATAATATGTTGGAGCTTTATTCTAGGATGCAGTTACGTTAGTTGGAAACAGTTCGAGTCTTTCAAGGCTTGCTTTTAAAATCTGTTAGGCAAGTCTAGAAGAGCCTTAAATCTAGAACTAATTTGGTCCCATTTGTTCAAATACTGCTTCTTCTCCTATTTCTCCTTAAGAGAACTCCTATTAGATGGATAGTTTGGAACTTTCATCAAATGTCCTTTTTTCTGTATTTCTGTTTTATCCTTTTTATCCCTTTCTTATTATTATGTTTTGGAAGTATTCCTAGGCCTGAATTTCAGCTCAATAATATATTCTTTTGTCTATTCTGCTTTTCAGCCCATCTAATGAGTTTCTTTTCATTTAGAAACTTACGTTTTCATGTCCATGAATTCTAATTTGTTTTTCCCTAAATCTCCTTAATCATATTCTTATTTTCCTGATAATACTATAGTCATTGCTGTCTTTTTTTTTTTTTTTTTTTAGTGTGCTATTGGCCATATTACCTTGCTGTTTTTGAGTTCTCTATTTCACAGTGTCAGCATTTGTCAGATGTTTGGTCTTCATGACACTATGTTCATATTTGGGAGTATCTTATATTGCTCCATACCTTTATTTGAGTGGCACCCTGGAGAGATAGGAGAATGCTACTGTCTTCACAGTTTTCAGTGAGAGGAGAGAATAGGTGGGAGATATTGATATTCTGCAGGTAGAGATACCTTGACAGTTTATTTTCTGGGCTTAGAAGACTCTCATTCTTCTTTGTTATAACCAGTCCAGCCACCGAGAGGAGTGACCTGACTGCTAAGCCCTCTCTGGTCACTCCTATTTGAAGGTAACTGACTGCTTCCTGGCTTGTGGAAATGAATAATACAATGGAAGTTACCCTCTTATTGTAACCACTGTTGTCTGTTCCTAGACCTTTTTATATTCTTAACTTCCAACAAGGCTTAGGGCATGCTTCATGTTGCTCACACCTTCTGTGGTGGTATTCTTTCTGACATGCTTTTGCTCATGAAGTTTTTCACTTAAAACTGATTTTGTGGACTTTTATTTATCTCTGGATTCCTTTCGTTCGTGGGACTGCTAAGAGTTTTGCTTGTTTTTGAGCACTTATGTCTATTCACTTAAAACAACAACTGTATTCTAGGATTTTGCAAGAAGGAAAGCTGTAGAATCACTTTGCCATTTTGCAAACAAAATTTAGTATTTTCATTTTGTTACGGCTTTTAAAAAACTTAAAAAATGCTTAGAGATCAGTGTTTTTTTTTTTTTTTTTTACAAATAGTTTATTGTCAAATTAGTTTCCACATCCCCACAAGTGTCCTCCTCCTTGCCCATCCCCCCTCTCCCCCACATCCATCAGTCCTCAGTTTTTGTCAGCATTCAAGAGTCTCTCATGGTTTGCCTCTCTCCCTTTCCCCCACCATTTCCGCCCTTCTTCTCCCCCTTGTTCCTCCGTCAAGTTCCTCCTAATCCTCCTATACGTGCAAACATATGATATTTGTCCTTCTCTGCCTGACTTATTTCGCTCAGCATAACACCCTCAAGGTCCATCCATGTTGCTACACATGGCCAGATTTCATTGTTTCTCATTGCCATGTAGCATTCCATGGTATAGATAAACCACATCTTCTTGATCCATTCATCTGTGGATGGACACTTAGGCTCTTTCCATGTTTTAGCTATTGTGGAGAGTGCTGCTATGAACATTGGGGTACATGTGCTCCTATGCCTCAGCATTTCTGTATCCCTTGGGTAAATTCCTAGCAGTGCTATTGCTGGGTCCTAGGGGAGTTCTATAGTTAGTTTCCTGAGGAACCTCCACACTGTTTTCCAGAGGGGCTGTACCAGTTTACATTCCCACCAACAGTGTAGGAGGGTGCCCGTTTCTCCACATCCTCACCAGCATCTAGAGTTCTCTGCTTTGCTCATTTTAGCCACTCTGACTGGCGTGAGGTGGTATCTCAGTGTGGTTTTGATTTGTATTTCCCTGATGAGGAGGGATGCTGAGCATCGTTTCATGTGTCTGTTGGCCATCTGGATGTCCTCTTTGGAGAAGTGTCTGTTCATATCTTCTGCCCATTTCTTCACTGGGTTGTTTGTTTTTCGGGCGTGTAGTTTGGTGAGTTTGGATATTAACCCTTTATCTGATATGTCATTTGCAACTATCTTTTCCCATTCCGTTGGTTGCCTATTAATTTTCTGGGTTGTTTCCTTGGCTGTGCAGAAGCTTTTAATCTTGATGAGGTCCCAACAGTTTATTTTTGCTCTTGATTCCCTTGCTTTTGGGGATGTGTCAAGTAAGAAGTTGCTGCGGTGGAGGTCAAGGAGGTTGTTTCCTGCTTTCTCCTCTAGGGTGTTGATAGTTTCCGAGATCAGTGTATTTTTAAAGGGATTTTTACAAGATTCACTTTGTTAAACTATATAGAATTTCTTCATTCCTTTGATGACGAAATGTATACATAAAACTTTA